TAGTCATAGTTGATGAGACCAAAACACAACATAACTATTATTTAAATAGCTGCAGTGACTTAAAGTAGAATGTGCCTAGTATTATGTTGTTAAAGAATTAAGATTAGGAATATTTTTTTAAAATATACTTAAAATATTGTATTTATTCTGCGTTGTTGGGAAAGCTGAAGTTTATATTATATGAAATTTAGATGTCTATGAAATTTAAATATGTAAACAAAGGGCAGTTTTCCTGGGTTCTACATTTGTTAACTATTGCATCTACATTTAAAGGACATCAGCCTGGCATACTTCTAGTCACTAGTTGATTCAAAGTAATATTTCAGAGGGTAATTTCCTGGTCTAGGTGCAATATTCAAATGTTTGGACAGCAGAGTAGCACTGGATTCTATATCTTGACATATTTATTGTCATAATAATCGATAAACTTGATTTCCAGAATCTATATTGTAGCTCTATAATTGTGAAAAATTATTTTAAAAATAAAAATATAATTAATTACGGTACCTAAATTATATAATAGGGATATTTGCAATAGGGATTTCAATTTCAAAGTTAATTGCATAAAAATTAATTGGCGTCCAATTAATCAGTATGAGCCTATTTGCTAATCAGTTCAATCCTAAATCATTAACCTGGTCCATGATCATATCCTTATCAATAATAATTCATATTTTAATATGGAAATGGACTAAATTTGCATTTGTATATTACTATATAATTAGGCTAAGTCCCTGAATGCTTCATTTAAATCACCATCATAGTGGTGGATGATCCAAATTATTTATAGGGCTATATAAATGTTTGTAAAGTCCATTAAAATTTGAGAGTACAAGGGTTTGGAATGTCTTCTCATCACTGACAGATCACCACTTGGCATAATTAATATTAACTCTTTTTTTTTTCAATCTCTTGTAAATCACTAATCTTATATGACTTTTTCTTAGTAAATTTAGTGCAAATACAAGGATAAACATAACAATAAACTTATGGTTTTCTAAAAAATAATGCTGCATTGGCAATGTAAAACACAATTTGGAGCTCTTATTTTATTTATAATTTATGGGCAACTAAAAACTAAAAGACATAAGACTGCTTACATGAGTCTACAAGATTAGATTGGTCTGATAATTCTTGACTTATGCAGTCCATCATTATTTTTACTGTCAAGTTTAAGGTTGTTAGGGATTTTTCTCAAAGTTTGGATTTTAAATTTATTTAGTTAATAATGGTATAAAAAAGGTATGATCTAAATAATATGTAACAAGTCTATTTAGAATCTTTCATTCTATTGAGTTGTTACTCTGCCACATATCAATGAGTTATTCTTGAAGGACATTCTTTTTTTTTATAATAATGGTATAAAAAAGGTATGATCTAAATAATATGTAACAAGTCTATTTAGAATCTTTCATTCTATTGAGTTGTTACTCTGCCACATATCAATGAGTTATTCTTGAAGGACATTCTTTTTTTTTCTGATAGGGCAGAGTTTTTGCAGGTTTACGGTGATCTTTATAGCGATGATTCGAGTCTTCAAGAAAAGGCTATCAATAGAATAGCTGTGTGGAAATCCAGGTAAACTAAAAATTGGAGATTTGAGGTAGAAACAATTTTTCATTTGAAGATAAGTTTTACAAATTTTTGACTCACAATGGATATACAGAGGCCATTTAATCTTAAGCTATTAACTATTTGCTGGATTGTTTTGTTTTTTTAGTACTCTAGCGTTAAATTTTGTTCAAATAACCTCATGAGAATTTGTAACCAGATTGATATTTAATGTCAGTTGACTTATAAAAAACGTTATAATTTACATTTTAATTTCTACTTCTTTTAAAGGGCTGGAAGCAAGTTATCAGTTGCTATTGAAAGTTCTGCTATGTTAATGCAAGCCAGCATGGATCACAGCAAAGTGACAAGAGATGGGAGTATTTTACAACAGGAAACTCAACTCAGATCACTTTATGGTTTAGCACTTGTTAGGTAATTTTTAAATAGTTTTAAAAAATGTTGAAGAAAAAAAATTAGTAAAACGTATTTGAATCTAAAATTTAATTCAAATAAATGTTCTTCTTCTACATATTAAGGGCCCAAGATCAATATCATTCTAGCTCCTCTCTATGTATTTTAACTCAAGATTAATATTCAAAGAAAAGAAAAGCATACAAAAAAAATTGATTCTTTTCAGTATTATTTTACTATTAATTTTGAAAAGTCAGACTTTTCATTTTTGCCTTTAAAATTTAAACATGACTGTTAACTTGTAATCAATGCCTAAATTAAGGAATTATTAATTTTTTTAAATAATCCTATAAACCAAGATTATTAGATTTCAATATATTTAATCATGATATAAAATATTAGCATACATTTCTTCAAAGAAATATATGTGCTAAAAGGAAAAACTAATTTTGAACATTCTAAAATTCTTTCTTTAAATTTTTTTTTGGTTACAAACCCTAATAAAATATACAACAGACAATTTAGCATTTAAACTGTAGCCTTGTGACTGCCATAAGGAGCCTTGTTTTGTTATCTTCATAATTTACCTTTCAGGTTTGTAAACCATGTTACAGAAAAAGGACAAACCAGAGCTACAGCACAACCAGTGCATTTGATTGCGCGGAATGTAAGCATTTATTAGAAAATGAAATTTTGTGTGTCTTTTGATTCTTAACTATTATTCATCAAAATAATATGGAACATAATTTTAATGGAATGTCTTTTATATATATATAGTTCTCATCTAGTGAACAAAGGCTGTGAAATGCAAATAATGAATTATGAACAAAACTGTCATTTCAGTTAGGAATTCCTGAATGGATTGTCAGACTTCGTCATGATACTACTCATTCTTCTCTGCCAAGTTTAGATGTATTGGCGACGGGTGCAAAATGGGCTCTCAATTATCTCAGAGAGAACTTCTGGGAGTGTCAAACAAATGAAGTTGTGCCTGAAGAAAATGAAGGAAGCATGAAATCACCGAAAATGTCTGCTATAAGAAGAGCATTTTATGATTTTCAAGAAAGTCGTTATCAGGTGAAGAATCTTGATATATTAGCCCCTATGCAAGTAATCTTATGTGTGAATTTAAAAATGTAAAAGCAAACTGCAGTTATATTTAAATTATTTCCATACACTTGATGATTGAACATTAATATTTAATTATTTTTTTTTGATTATGCAAAGTTCAATAAAATAGACTGCATCAGATAAACTATTTATGGGCTTTATTTATCTCAATTTCAACTATGAATTTCCTGTTTATATTTGAGTGCCTTTTGCCAATGACATCTTATAAAAGTAGTCTATGATACCCACCACAATGCAATAACATTGGTCAATTAACACTTTATATCCACATTGCGCATAGAGCAAAAAAAAACATCTATCCACTTTACTCTTTCCCCCAGTACAGAGAAAAATAATGCAGACAGTGTTACGTATTGTGATATGAATTTTTTAAGTTTAAGCTTTTTTAAGATTGATCTCATTTATTAAACAATATGTAACAAAGGACTGGAAAAAAGTATACAAAGAAATACAATACCTAATATAGTGATATTAACTATATTCAATTTAATTCTACTATTAAATTTAAATTTTACAAATATGAACAAAATAAGACTGACTAAATATTTAAAATTTGTGATTTCTCTTTTTTGGGAAGGATGTAAAAATGTTAAAATGTATGTGCAGCTAAGCCTGGTTTACTCTTAGGATTTTGCCTACTATTTTCTATTTTGAGATGTATTTTATGATAGTACACCAAGACCTGTCAGAACTACAATTTGAAGAGACTGAGTGAAAAAAGAAATACATTCAAGTATTTTGTTCTAGGTCTAAATATTTAAGCATAAAATAAGACTGCCACAGTTTTTTTTGTAATCATGGTTTTGATGAACTTGCTAGACATAGTAACAGTATAAAAAAAAATTAGCCTAGTAAAATTTTTAGTAAATCCTCACTTTTGTTTGCTTCGTTGCTGTATCACGTTATTTTGTGACATTATTTTGTTCGGCTGAACTACCATGAGTACAAAAACGGAAAGTTAGAATGCATTCTCAACTGTTCCTCACAGCAACATTAGATTTTGACTTATTTTATACGATTCTAATTGTATTCGAATGGACAATTTTTAATGCTAGTTTTAAAACCCTGGTTTGGTTTCACGTCCGCAAAACAAAGTGACCACAGTGTGGACAGCAGTCATCTAATTTTGGAAGTAATCTTTTTGATGTCAGCTTAACTGGATCCCACTGGACACACGATGCGTGTAGTTCATGTATATGTAATAAATACTGTGTTTATTTATTTATTATAAAGATACTGTATTGTAAGATTTTCAGATGATATGATAAGAATTTAGGAGTTTGATGGTAACAGGTCTGAGTTAAGTGGAAATTAATAATGAATTTTTCTTGTTGCTAAGTAATAAACCCATCAATCGGCGTCATGTGGATATAAATGTTATAAATGGCTGTCAACAATCATGTGGATATTAAATGTTAAGTGGGGCAATTTGTTTAACTACCACACTTCATACTGTTAAATTAAAACATCATTGTAAGACTCGTGTAGACAAGATTATTTGTTCCCAGGACAGTAAAGGCAAAGAGGATTTGATTTCATATTGACAAATTAACACCAACAAAGTTTCTATTTCTTAATTTGGGGTAAGACTTCAAAAAAGAATCTTGCAATATTACTATTTTCAAGGAGTTGGTATGACTTATATTAATGGTGACGGAATACTGCACAATTTATCCCTTTACAATTAAGATCTTATATAGCCAGTAGTTAGCTTTGCAACAGTAATTGAAATATATTTCAAAGTACAACTACAGGGAGAACTGAAATAGACAGAAGTAAAAAGCTGAAAAGAATGCATTGAAGATGACTTTGAACACTACTATTTCTTCTTCTCAGATCTGCTTACCCAGTCTCCACCGACAGTACCTTTAGAAATGGTGGAGTTTTGGCGACCATTATTTCAAATGCTGCATGCTAACAGTGATCTCCCATTTATGCTTCACATGGCTATGTTTTCTGTCACTTCGGATGAAGGCCTTCGAAACTACCAACTTGTGGCCTGGATTGCTTTCTTCCTTTCCCAGAATTCAGGTTTGTTCCTTTAAGAAAATTTTCTTAGTATTATTAGACCTAATCACCAAATTAATTTAAACTCTGTTGAATAACTTTTATTAGAGTCCATTTAATGTTACAATTGGAACATGTTATTTTTTTTTAATTTAATATCCCCCGTGGGGGGGGGTTGTTGTGTTAAGATTTGATGGTTTTATTTTTTCATTTAGCATTCACTTAATTGTCTCAAAATTATTGCTGTTTGCATCCCTTCAAAAAAAGAGAAAAAACGAAAGCAGGTTGGAATGTTCAAAAGTTCGGTCCACCTGCCGACCAAGACTCTGCTATCTGCTTGCCTGCAGAACATCAACAGACTTACTGTACACCTTTTTAAATAGTAGGTTGGCCTTCATTATTAATTGATCAGTTAATGCAGACTTAATTACTTTTGCATTATAAATCATTTGAATGATTATTTTATTTTGTCATATTTTCCTATTTCGTGCTGCCCATTTGTTTAAAGTAACCAAGCATCTTGCTCTGCAGTGTAATTAATTTGATCAGCAATAGTTCCTAGAGCATCAGTGCCCAGAGCTTTATAGTTTCACCTTCATACATTATTTGTAATGACAAGAGTGCACACTGGAATATATATATAAAAAAAGCTCACTTGAATATACATATATATATATATATATATATATAAAAACACAATTATTTTCTAATTACTAAATTTTATTTCAAACTCACTGCAGATCAAAGCACTCACACCATTTTTCAGACCACTATCCTAGAGAGGTGTTTTAAAATAAAACATGCTCATGTGAAATTAATTGCATCCAATATTCTTTTTTTGCCCTATCAGCTAAATAGTTTGTTGATTTAGTGTGTTATTTTTTAAAATGTCTTGGAGTCTTTCGAATTCTCTACAGTCTACTGTTAATTAAATAAACCAAATAAAGCCTGAAGTGAATGTAAATTACTTGTAAAAAATACCAAAGGATAACTTGATAAAGTTTTGTTCTTTTAATGAGCAAAAACGGAACTGTACCTTGTTATGTTATCTTTTAAATAGTTTTATGCATTTCTTTTCATTGTGAACAAACTTTTTTTTTTATAGCTTAGCTGATAAGGAAAGTCTTGGTGATGAATGCTACCTCAAAGTAAGAGAGCTGTTAAATCTTGAAACAAAAGTTGCCCAAGGTGCGACTTCAAATGATGACTCGGACACAGATACAGTTTATACTGCAGAAGGTATGACACATGGAAACTCATTAAGTTCCACTTTACACCTGTTAAGTTTTCTTAAATATACATAAAGGCTGTTTTGATAATGACCAGCTTCCATGTCAGTGTTAAGATAGAATTATATGAATTAAATTAAAACTAAAATGCTCATAAGCCTTAGGACATCATCCTAAGCGTGTGAATTATATATGTGGATAATCATAAGTAATCTATGATTATCACAGATCTGAAACAAGCCAAGTTAAAACAGACTCAAGAGATTTCATCAAATATTATTCGTGATCTTCAAACGCTAACAACCTCTGAGGAAGATGAGATACCATGGGTTTTATGCACAGGTAATTTTGTGTGAGTCTCTATAGGGTATGTTGTATGTCTTGTACTGACAGCATTAGATGGGTACTCCATTGTGCCAGTTATGAAGAATATCTCAGCTTACAGTACATACAATATTTTCATTTGAGTGCAAGCTTAAATGAATTGTTTTATATGATCAAATATTTTCTTTAAGGAGAATCTGTACTGAGTACTGTTGTGTATGGTGAGACCAATGGATATTTTTAAATTAGATTTTTCTGCATACTTGAAAAAAGTAGCCTACAAGACTAACTGAATTATTTTCTTTATTTATTTAAAATAGATAGCTAGCTGTATTTGGACGTTTAGGATTTCTTATAAATAGCTTGGTTAACTATTCACTATGAAATATCTTGTAAAAATAATTAAGCTTATTGTGACCGCCAATGAATCATTAATATAACAGTAGCTTTGTATTTTTCTCAGTAGCTTTTTGTCGGGATTTTTTTTTTACATTGTAGAAAATATTTAAAAACAACAAATTTATAAGACTGAATTGATGTTTTCCAGAAATATTGAGTTCTAGCATTTTAAAATTGCAAAGTTCATCTCAATTAATGTCACATAAAGATATGGGTTCAATCAATGATTAACATTTGATTTGGTTGAATTTATGTCAGATTTGGTGGACTGGTCAACTGTGCCACTGGGCACCATTCCAGATCTGTAGGTGAGCATAACATAAGTTGAGGTTCTTAGATTCCAATCAAAAGTGCTGGATCATTTATTTCTTTTGGTCTTTTAACAAGTTGTTAATATATATTTTTCAAAACAACCAATAAATATTGTTTCAGACAAATTAGGGAGAAGCATATTTTAAAATGAGAGGCATAGATCTTAGCTTTTTAGTTAATGTATGAAATTTTTTAATAAAATTAGTCTAAAAAAATAGCAGACCTGCCAACCCTTCCGATTTTGTCGGTATCAAACACATTTTTTACCCCTCATTCCGACCTTCCATCAAACGCCTTAAAATTCAAATTTTTCTAACTTATTAATTTTTCACCGTCACAAAAATCCGAAAGCGACCAAAAAAAAATTTTTTTTAAATCTCGTACAACAGGAAGTGTTGGATTTGTTTTTACAAAGTGCATACATTTCTGGCAACTGGACAAATAAGTAAATTATTCTCGAGGATATTTATCCGGCAATTATATATTTCGACCAAGTCACAAGACCACTGTAACAAAGTGTCACATGACCACTGTAACAAAGTTGCAAAAGATATTTGTCCGTCACCTTGTCATGTGACCGCTAATTGTCAATCAGAGTTTATAGCACTTAATTTCAACAAATTTAAGATAGTCTGGACATTTACACGAAAAAGAAATATGTTCAATTATGAAAAAAGAAATTCTAGAACCATTGCTGGTATATATAATGAACAATTGGTTAAAAAGAGCCAATGTTTTTTATAAAGCGTAGCAAGCCTGCCGGATGAATATCTCACGCTCTTTTTGTCCTGTCGCCTGACATGTAGAAACTGCCTTGTTTTTATCGAAGCCAACCGTGATCTTCAAAATTCAAATCATTCTTCAATCATCAATTGACAAGGCTAAAAATTAATTCAGACTTTTTTAAACATTTTTCTTAATTAAATGGTTAAATCTATTGAAAGTGGTGGGTACAATGATATTAATAAACAATTTTACCCACCCAAAAAAAACATACAACTGCAGCTAAAAGTAATCCATGTCTAATTTCTTTGCTAAGGATTTGGACGATTCAGTTGGCATTTAGTTTTATTTACCACCTTTCTTATTGAAGGAAATATTTGTCTAGCCAACTCTGATCGTTTTAATGCCAGAGTCAAAGAAATGTTTCCAGACTCTCAGATTGCTAGAAGATTGTAAAGAAAAATTACAATGAAACGAGGGCAATCATGAAGGTTGATACTTTTTCTAACTTGCTTGTAACTAAAACTAAAACCAATTGCAATGCTAACCTTCAGTTGTCCAAAGAGCTGTTGGACAAGTGCAAAAAGGCCACTAGGGATATGCTGGAAAACTGAATTCTTAGTAAGAGTCTTAGCAGCCTGTGTACATATGTAAATAAAATGGATCTTCTGTTCTGTAATGTAGGCCTATATACATTTCCAGCAATGTTTTTCTC